CTCCCCGAACACCGGGGCATTTCCTTTTTAAGAGCTTGCAAAAAAAAAAAAAAAAACCTGAAAGGGAATGAAGCACAAAAAGAAAAATCTAGCCCCTTTTAAATTGCAATTCTGCCTGCCTGTCTCTCTTTAATCTGCACCCAAAGCCCAGGATCAGAGGCTGACGTCATCCTGCCCCTGAGCCTCCCTCTCTGATTGGCTGGGGATGACGTCAGGTGCTTTTTTTCAAGGCATGACCTAATCCTCAGTTCATTTTTAGTTCTAAAGTGCAACCTTCTGTCTTCCTGGATCCTTCAGCCCTGTTTAATGCTTATCTGTGCTATTCCCCCCCCCACCCCCACCCGCTCCCCACATAACACAGCGCGCGCCCGCCCGCGTCCCCGCTGCGGGAAAATGCCTGCTCCCTAGTTTCCTCGGCTGACATAATGACCGCAGTTCGGTGTGGTTGCGTGTTTGTTTGCAAAAGGCTGAGAACTTGCCTTCTCAGCGCTTGCCCAAGTCTTTCCAAGCTGTTCCCATCAAATCCTCTCGCAATTGTGGTTTAATCATCCTGGCGAATGTGCAGCATTTTGCAACTCGTCGGAGCGCTGCAGGGGCTTTGATCTTGGGCTGCGGAGGAAGTGCCAGGCGGGTAAGTGTTCCCACGTATGAAGGGGTTGCCTTGCATGGGAGCCGGGGAGAATATAGCGGGGGGCTTCCTCATCCCGCACAGCACTGCAGGACCATAGGTACGTTGCGGGTCCGAAATCTTGTGGGAACCTGACAAGGATTTTTCCCCTTTATGTACCGCAATGCCTTCCACATCAGAGTCCAAACGCCTCCTCCTGCGTACCGCAGATGGAAACGGGGATGAAATGTGGCTGCGGAATGGGTTTTGTTTACGACGGTGCGTGAATTTGGTCTGCCTTCCCCCCCCCCCCCTGTAAGAGGAAGTTTGTTCGGGCGGGGGCAGGTCCTTTGGTGGCGGAGTTTGCCTGTGCGCGTTTAATGCACAATTGCTGCAGGGTCGAGTAGGAACGCTCTTGCGGGCGTTCGCAAATCCGCAGCAGCGATAGCGGTGATGCGGAGAAAGCAGACCTGCAACCAACGCATCGCATATTTATGACGTGTGTCGAAGTACAAGGAGGATTAAAGGGGGTTGCGGGGGTGGGGAGAGATACGGGTTTTACTCAGGGTCAGTAAAAAAAAAAAAAGAATAGATCTGAAGGTGGTGGTGGTGGTGGTGGTGG